AGCGCCAAAGTGCCTCTCCTTGTTTCTTCCTCTTTTTATTTCTACCCCTTTCTTCGTTTTCCTTCTATTTCTTTCTTTCCTTCTCTCTCTCTGCCTCTTCCTTTTTTGCCTTCCCCTTCCTTCCTTCTTTCTTCCTCTGTCTATCTGTCTCTCTCTCCGATCGGAATGACTATGTGTAAAGGATAATTCTCTCAATCCTTTGCGGTGAAAAGTGATGTGGGGCAGGATGGTACACTTGCTCCCTGCGTGTTCACTCACACGTATGCTTACCAATAAGACTGACATGGAGTCGAGATCCAGTAACAAACCTATCGGAAACTCATGGATGTTTTGCAGATTTTGAATAATTCATATTGACCGAACTGTGTACAACGCAGTGTCTCGGTGGGATTCGAACCCATGACAGCAAGGGAAAGGCTTTAGTACAGCCAGCGCTCTAGCCACCTGAGCTACGAGGATCGATCGAAAGACGTGAATCTAAGCACATATGGTCAAGTTACCCGCCCAGCCCACAGCAACATCTGAAATCCACCAAATCGATTGGGTCTCGTAGCTCAGGTGGTTAGAGCGTTGGCTGTACTAAAGCCTTCCCCTTGCTGTCGTGGGCTCGAATCTCTCCGAGACTTCTAGTTTTTCACAGTTGGGTCAATATAAGCTATTGGAAACTACTGAAGTCAGACATCCAAAAGGTTAAGTTTCGGAGTTAACTACCTGCGGACGACTGCCAGCTGAACAAAACAACCGAAGCGGACATGCGCCGGTGTACGTGCCATTTTGCCTCTGGTGACCCAGACAGTGATAGTTTTCATCGTCGACAACGGCGGGAGTATCCGCGGCTTGCGTACAACGCATAATGTGAAGATGTTTTCCAGTGAAAGCAACAAGCACGGTGATGCCCTTGCCCGGAACTTTCAAATACGAGTTAGGCTTTCGGCTGGCCAGAAACCTGCTGCAAAATTCTATCTTTAACTTTTAAAACACCCACTCTCCTTCTGTTCTGTTACTGCTGAACCGCATTTCTGTTTCTGTGAGTATTTTCATTGTTTCGGTCCCACAGTTCTCCGAAAATCCGCATGACATTAGAAGGGCGGTACCGGGTATTTTGATTCTTCAAAGCCGGAAAATAGTCACTGAAAAAGTGGAAATTCGTATCACACAAAAGGAAGCTACGCAAATGCGGCAGCCGGTAGAGGTCATAAACATTAGGCATTCCTTGAGTGACTTGAAAACCCAGCCGGTGGGAGGGAGGAGACAGAAGGAGATTCAAAATTATCACACACAGTCATTTTCGCTCCTACGGTGGTGGTGGTGCTGGTGCTAGTAGTAGTAGTAGTAGTGGTGATAGTAGTAGCAGTAGTATTAGTAGTAGAAGTAGTCGTAGTAGTAGCAGTAGTAGTATTAGTAATAGTAGTGGTAGTAGTAGTAGTAGTAGTAGTAGTAGTAGTAGTAGTAGTAGCAGTAGTAGTAGTAGTAGTAGTAGTAGTAGTAGTAGTAGTAGTAGTAGTAGTAGTAGCAGTAGTAGTAGTGATCGAGTGTCAGAAGAATGATTGGTCAGGTTGCAGAAGAAATATCGGAAAAAACAATCAAGAGTGAAATGACCACTTCTGATTTGCTTGTTTTCATCAGCCAGTCATGTTCTGACCCCAAACCAGAGGACCTGACTTTAGATTACAGATCAATTGACCACCTAGAATTTTATTCAGGCGATTTGCCGTTTGAGGGGTGGGTCCACGTCTACCGGGCTGCGTTCGCAAACATTCAAAATTATATGACAGCGAGGCCTAAGCGATCTCATCGCGTACCACTTTTGCCGTTGTCTACTGCAACCCACAGGACACTAGGCTGTAGCTCAACTGGTAGAGCATCTGACTACAACGCCCGACGAATAACTGACACAGGTTCAGTTCTCCAGTCTTCCCTTGCTCACAACAATAAAACAACCGGAAGTAGACTTTTCCGTCTCCAATTCTTCTTGCTGTTGGTTTTCAACTGTCGATTGCCATGCGGGCATCTGCGTGGGCACTGACTTGAGGACAAAACAGAGAGGGAGGTTGGTGAAACGTCATATCCCTCGCGTCATGTAAGGGAAACTTATTTAATCTGCATAGTGTCCCCTCTCGGGGATGATCTGGTAGAGACAAATGCGAAGACCAGGAGAACCGGGATGAATCTAAAAGCTTAATGTAGCAGGGTGAGGGAATTAAACTCCGCATGGTCCCTAGTCTGCGTTCAGCAATGTTTTTTCTCTGCTGCCTCGCCATCACATTCGTTTGCCAATCTGGAACCAGACCAACAGGATTCAGCTAAGTTAGCGTACATTTCGCCTATATTCCATCCTCTGAGATACCTCAACCCGGCAGAACACATGGGGCTGGGAATCAGCCGTGGAATCAAAATCCAAGGTTGCATTAGGAAGTCCGTAGTCATTGGGGTGCAGTGGCGCTTCTCTATGTAATCCAAGGTCTTGACAGCGTATAATGACAATGCAGACTCCCTCATCTGCTCACAAAGTTTTTTTCCCCTGCTGGAGCCCGTAAGAGTGCAGATTAAGCGAGGTCTGGTGTCTTTCATTTTTTCCGAGCGTATTCACGTATCTAAGATAGTCGGAACCTCATATGGGGGTAAGACTAATGCGTTGATCTTTAAAAACCTGCACATCGCAATTCCTCAACCCGGACTAAGTTGTAACTGCATAGCAGACGGTAAATAGGCATATTTAATCATCAGTCATCCTTTCCCCGGCAAATCATGAAAGGTCATAGTTGCTGTTCCCCGCATAAAAGCCAAATGCTTTTACAAGCGGAAGGCGCGCCCGGGTCTTGAAATTCATGTTTGGAGAGACGCACATGGGCGGTGCAACTCATGGACCAAAGTTGCTTGTAGTATATACCGCGCCAGAAACGAACCCATTTAATAGCCGTGGTTCAGTATTGGCAGTAAAATTGTTACGGGAAATTACGCACACGGTCATAAGTCACTTTACTACGATAACCGTGCTACTGGAATCATTTAAGCAACCTATGTGCCGCACTATTTTAGGAACCTGTACGTCCGGCGTGCAAAATTGCGTTTTGTTTTCGAAGCATGATGCAGTCTACAGAGCTCAGCATTGACGGAGCGTCTTGTCAAATGTAACTTTCTAACTTCAACTTGAGTGAGCAGTGAACGGGTGGCTCAAACGTCCATGCTGTAAGAACAAAAGAGTAAGACAGGGCCCTGGATTTCCCGTCTTCAGCTATTCTGTGGCTCGGCTTGGTTAACTGGAGCTGCAGGGGAATACAGGAATGCACGAATCTGAGCAAACACTCGCTTTATATAACACCGCCACGTTTCGGTTAAAGAGGGAGAATCCACATGCATTTTAATTCCATTCATGTAAGTGTCAAAAAACGCTGTTTGATAATAATTTGTCGTGCGTGTTGTAGACGATTATCTCTCAGGCTTTTTTTACGCGTATTTAAAATGCATAAAAATGCGCAAAAGTCTGCGCACACTGTTCACGCCCTCCAGTTTACTGGCAGACACGGAAGTCCAGCCAAACCCTTTACCAAAACCCTCTCGGTGAGCTGCCTGCGTTTTTTCTTCATCAAAAACGTTTTGAGCAAAAGCCTAAATCGGGGTTTATTGGACTGATGTTTAGGCCGTCCTTTGTTAGTCATGGGTGTAGCAGAGGCATACTTTTAGACAACCGTCGCAACAAACCATACTTGCCGCTCCACAGTAACGTGATTGTGGCCTTTAATTGACTACCGTTTACTTAAACCTGACAATCTCCACCAGCCATCAGGGCAATGAGAGTTGTTGGCTTTCCTCATACTGACCAGTTAATATACTGAACACATATCTTCCTGTTCTGCCACTCGTGTTATAAAAGACTCCATAGACTAGGATGGACACTACTGGCGCCTTTGCTATCAACAACTCAGGAGGGGAACGGACGAGGTTTTAATTCAGTCTGCGCTGACATTCTGAGCTACAGTAGATGGGCCAACTCATGAAATGTCGACCGAAATTCCGAAATGTGTTTTCGTTTCGTAAAAATTAATTAAGTAGGGTTGTAAAAATAATCAACCTGCAACATAATTCTATAATAATTTGGTTAACACAGGATGCCGGCTTTCGGATAAACTTCCTTCCGGCTGCATGCGTAAATTACACTCTGTAAAAATAGCTACTTAATTAGCATGCATTTTTCTCCTTGATTTTCGATGCCCCTAAAAGTCCAATTATATTTCATGGAAAACATACATAAAAATACTCATTCGTTTGTACATTCGGCAGTTACTTACATCTTCTTCTAATTTTATACTCGAGGGAGGGACATAATTCGGTTTTAAAAAGTTTATAGTTGCGAGAGTTAAATTCCGTGAAATGGCCGTTCATAAATCGTCATGTCTCTACATTTACAAATTTGGCTTGTAAAGTTAACAATATGGTTCAAATCCACTGCTAAATTTTATGAGCCCTATATAGTCCCCCTTTATTACCTTAGAGAAATGTGTGGTTTTTCGTACGCGGAAAATATGCGGTTTGTAGTTTGTAAACCCTGAATGCAAGTGTAATGGAAGGTCGTGTTCAAAATTATCCGAGAATTATGAAAGCTTTTTAAAACCCAGTTATGCTCTTCTTTCGAGTATAAAATCGGAAGAAGGCGTGACTTTCTACCGAATCAGTAAAAGATGAATGAATGTCCTGTCGCCCCTGCATTGGTGTTATAAAAGACTCAATAGACTAGGATTGACACTGCTGGCTTGTTTGCCATCAACAACCAGTCGTACCACAACCTCAGGATGGGAACGGACGAGGTTCCAATCCAGTCTCCGCCGACACTCTGAACTACAGTAGGTGGGCTAAATCATGAAATGTCGACCGAAATTCCGAAATGCGTTTTCGTTTCGTAAAAATTAATTAAGTAGGGTCTTAAAACTAATCAGCCTGCAGCATAGTTCCATAATTCTTCTTCTTCTTCTTCTTCTTTTTCTTTTTCTTCTTCTTCTTCTTCTTCTTCTTCTTCTTCAAAACATAGTCAAGAAGGCCTGAGGCGGGAGAAGGCGCAGGCAGCTAGCATGATGCGAGCGTGCACCTAGGCGTACCACCACACTCCCTGGTCCACAACAAACATTTGAACAGGATGCTAACGTACAGAAGCAAGAGCGGTGGTTGGCGCTGCTGGAGCCGCCCCCGGGGCCGTCAAAGACGCGTGCCGCGGCGGCGGCATCGAACACATACGGGGCATGTACAGTAGGTGGTGTAACTCATGTAATGTCAACCGAAATTCCGAAATGAGTTTTCGTTTCGAAACGGTTAATTAAGTAGGGCTGTAAAACTAATCAGCCCGCAACATAATTCTATAAAAATAAAGCTACGTCGGAATGCCGGCTTCCGGACGAACTTCTTTTTGGCCACATGCAAAAGCTACACTCTGCAAAAAATGACTAATTATGTAGCAAACATTTTTCTTAGGTGAAGAAGAAGAGTCGAGCACCGGAACACTTCGTTTATTATCCTGAGCTTTCAGACTCGTACAGGAGTCCATCGTCAGAGTCTGAAAACTCAGGATAATAAACGAAGTGTTCCGGTGCTCGACTCTTCTTCTTCACCAACGCATACACCTGGAACTCGAAATTTCGCCTTCGTACAGTTTTCTCATTTATTTTCGATGTACTTGGGAATTCAATTATATTTTATGTAAAACATGCATAAAACTATGCATTCTTTCACTCACTCGGTAGAAAATGACGTTTTCTACCACTTTTATACTCAGAGGAAGGGTACAATTCGGTTTTAAAAAGTTTTTAATTATAGGATTTTTTAATACCGTGAAATGGCCGTTCATAAAACGCCATGCATCTGCATTTGCCAACGTGGCTTCTAAAGTTAGCAATATGGTTCGAATCCACTGCTAGATTTTATGAGCCCCATATATTATCCTCTTACTACCGAAGAGAAATGTACGGTTTTCCGTACGCGGAAAATATATGGCTTGTAGTTTGAAAACCCTGAATGCAAGTGTAACGGCAGATCGGGTTCACATTTATTCGGGAATTGGAAAAGTTTTTGAAAACCCAAGAATTCTAGCAAAGAGGATGCAGAAATATCCGTGTCGTAGGATTGGAGACGTTCTGCCGTACATTATCTTGCTATATTCAGTGGTATGGATTTAAATAGAGAGACGACATCAAAGGATACCATTATTTCCTCTGCCGCGATTCTCAGTCCTTGTAATTTGTCCAGAAACTCTATTCAATTATCGACTGATGTTTCACAATCCTTTGTCAGCGGATGGAGTTTGTGGAATTGCCATTTAGAAATCTAGCAATTAGGTGCACCGATAAACGATACTGTCGGTCGCAGCGGTACTTCAAGTTTGTGAACCTTAGGTAATCCATAGGTTCTAACGATGGTTGGTTCGGTTTGTCGAAGCTCGGTACTCCGGTGGGGACAGTATCAACCGCCATGTTGACCTGAATGTCCACTACGAGGGTCTCCGATCGCGGTGGACTGACCGGCGCCCACCTTAGGAATAATGGCTGCTAATGCGTGCCCGGACATGCA